CACAGGAACTTCCTAAAACCACTTCAGCAAGATTTGCCAGTGTTTCTTTGGTTGAATCTCAGTTCACAACGCAAATAGTAAAGGCAAAAATTCAGAAGATGTATCTCAAGGAGAAACAACATGATTTTTCTTCTCAACAAAGTTTCCAAACAGCAGTTCTAAATTTTCATTTTTTATACCCAAGCACTGGTTTTTCTATTTATTGATTTTGGGGGAGTACTCTTTAGATATTCACTAGAAATAAACATTGACTAGGCATTTCAGCTATCTCTTATTTGCAAATCTCTTGTGAAAACAGAGGTTGACAGGAGGGACTGGTTCCCATTCCACCACCTATGTGCTTCGTAAGATCCCACAACATTACGTTCATTAGCACCTTGCCTTTTCTCCTTATTTGAATACTTGCTTGCATTTAAGCTTCTTACGTGAAACAAGCACAAGGAAGGAAATAATATCATTAACAGGAAAGAAATCGAATTTAAACACAGTTTTGCCACTCTCCATACAACTAGTATTTAATCAGGACTACTGTGATTAGGAATGAAAGATCTATGTGAATGACTCATCGTGAACAAATTAAAGATTAAAACACATGGTTGAAAAAGGAAGTGGCTGGCTGCAAATCCTCTGTATGAACCGGATTTTGCTACTCAGGTTATTTCAAATTTTTGGAGGCCCTCTCATTTCGTCAGATAGTAAGGGGAACTTCTTCCTGCTGTCTGGACTTAGCTTCGCTAAGCTACAGAATGAATTTTTCATTAAAATCATATGCAATAAAATTATTATGCAACCAGTAAAAAAAAACAGGTAAGTAAGGTGTAGGGGATGAGAGTATTTCTGAATGGAGATGATACTGTTTCGTGAGGTTCTTTGTCCCGCTGGACTGTACCATCCCAGCAAGGAACTTCCGTTGCCCTAGAGATTAAAGCCAACTGTCAGAAACAAATCTGCAATAATTTGGAGCTGGACACAATGTTAATGAGGTACATTAGCACACCCCTAGCAAGGGGGGGAATGGTGAAACAAGCCATGCTTCAATAGCCAAAGCTGGTCAGAAAGCTCTGCTCCGCTCCTCTGCTTCCCTTTGCACCAGGAGCTCTGAAGGGATTCGGCATTTTGCATTTCTGCAGTCACCTGCCATCCTTTGGGAGCAGGTAAAAAGCGGAGAACAGAGTACAAGAAGGACAAGGAGCAGAGCTGGGCAATGGTTTTCACCAGTGTCAGCCCAGGCATTCGGGCATTCAGGAAAAGCGGTGGGGAAGCCAGGACAGGGGTACGGGGCAAGGGGCCAGCTGCCATTTGAGAGGCGCGGGCTGGAAACCCGCTGCTGCCCAGCGGCGGGGGGGGCCCGCTGCTGCCCAGCGGCGGTAGGGACCTGCTGCCCAGTGAAAGCTGCTGTTGAAATGCTCCTCAAACCCAAACACGGGTGGAACGGTGCCAAGCGCTTGCATTTTTGCTCACTGTGTTCAAGCAGCGTATCTCCTCCGTGTGAAAAGTGGCAGTAAAGAACAAAGCAGGCCAAACTGCTCGCCTGGCAGATCACTTTATAGGCAAAAAGCTGTACTGGTCATGACAACGAGTAATTTTTCCAAGTACTCTTTTGAGGTCTTTTGGGATGAACACAGAGTTGCACACTCTGCCACATTAGACAACTACCGAATTCTCCGGTCAGAAGAGACTGCAAAATTTTAGCATCATAAAAAATGGCCAGGCTGCCAGTATAAGCAAAGAGCGGTATAGTTGGAGATTTTTTTCCACTAGTGAAGGTGCTGATTTAAATAAATGGGGAGAATAATAATTACAATTAAAAAACCAAACAACAGAAGCAACCTACAGCAGATAGGATTTAACTAAAAAAAAAAAAAAAGTATGTTTCCTCGACATTAAATTTCACAGTCCCATTATCTGTATCTTATTTTTTATTTTGGAGTTCAAATTCATTTTGTCCCATCACCTGTTGTCAGGATGACTTGCATATTGAACTGTTCAACGTTTTCCTAAAACAAGTTGTTCTTCTTGAGCCATTCGAAGCGAGCTGTAAAAAGGGGTGGATCAGGAATATTGCTGACTTGCTGGTGCAAATGTTTTTTCACAAGTTCTGTAAGAACTCGAACAGAAAGGTAACTCTTGCGATTCCAGGCTCCTGACTGTATGAAGGATTTGGTTCTCTCTCTCCAGCATCATGAATATGCAACTGTACCAACAATCTCTAGCGTTTTTCCAAAATCTATTACTTCACTCCCTATCATTCAGAATCTAAACATAACAGGAAAAGGAAACTTAGCTTTAGCGGTGGTAAGACTATATCTAAGAGAAAACCCCAGATGTGTCATAAACATAGCACGCTCTGGTGTATCGGTGCCGTTACACAGCACTGAACTGGAATGGCCAGGACGGCCCCTTGTCTCTCACCCTCAAATTGCCTAGCCAATTAAAAACCTTTATGTCAACAGTTACTTTGATTCAAATCATCATCCTGCATTAAAGCATACCGCGATGACTTACTGGCACGTAGAAGCCTGCAAAACGAGCATCTCGCCAGTTAGAATTTTTACCCTGAGAACGGTGTGTTGTGAGGTTTAACAGAAGTCTACGCATTAGCAGCCCACCCTTCCGGTACACGTAAACACCCGTCTGTACGTAGTTAATTCATTTCTTTTGCCATATGTTTCTATGCTATTCCAATGCTGTTACTCTTTGGAAATGTTTCGTATTTCCGAGAAACTTTAACTCAGGTAACAGTAATGATGTATCTACATTGCAATCCCAACATAGAAACCTATTCTTGCCCCCTCCCCAGTGCTTGTTTATAAGTGTGAACAGAATCATTCAAGATAGGAGTATTTCATGTTTACCAAGAGGCAGTATTTATTATTACGACTGAGAACTCTACATACAGTATTGCACAAAATTGTAATGGACCGATCAACAAAGCCATGTTCCTACATAACTGCAAATAGCACTTTAACAGAGGTTTACCACGTTGTGCGTTAGGCGTCTTAGTAAAGTGACACTTTAGAAGATTATTTCATGGGTGTATGAAAGTGCAAACTTCCATTCAAGACATATACACAAAATACATGAAAAGGATTGCTATACATGCCACAGGTCTAAAAAAAAAAAAAAAACCAAACCCAAACCAATCCCCCCACCCCAAAACATGCCAAAACAAGTTAAATGAGTAGGTACTAGCACTCTTGGCAACCACCAGTGCTACCACATTCAGTCTTATCCTCTAGCAAGAAGCAGGGAAACGCAATCGGAGGGAACACCCTTAGCTTGGAGTTTTAGACATATTAATGCAGCTGTACCACATTAACTGCACTTTTTTTGTTTGGCAAGACTGAAAGACTTACAGCACTATAAATGCACCTAGCCAGTGTATTATATAGTAATTCGGGAATTACTGGTAAAGTAAAGTAACTCTGTACAACAGTTGACTGTTGAAGGAATGGTGTTTTTACAGCAAAAGATGATATAGTATGCAGCCAAAATTCAAGTATTTAATATTGACCTATAAGTGTGGAAATTCTGACCACCTGTTCCTGTGCACCACATAAAACAGATCAAGAATTATTTTTTCAGTTTTATTCTTCCCTCTACACCCTTCCCCAAATGGCTTGGAGAGAGGTGCCGAGGGAAGAATAAAAACATCGCTGCAGCGCTATGTCTTCAGCACATTACTATTCCAAAGCCGTTGACGGGCATGTGGGTACAACTGTTCTCTGGGTTCTCAACATGCAGCCTTAATGCTCTCGGTTCACTCCCATCTCACCACCTCCTTCTCCTTGACGGCAAGACCCCAGTCCCTGCTGTCCCCTGCTTTTTATTTGCACCCTTTTCACCGGCTGTTCCCATCAGTTGCCCAGGCAGACACGTTACCTTCTCTTCTGCACAAGCGAGCAGCTTAGCTGTGCAACATCATCTTTGGACAATTGGGGAAACACGGAGATAAAAGGATGGAACAGTTCTTCTCTCATACCAGCTTTTGGGAAGGCCTGGAGCAACAATTACACTTCTGCCTGAGCACCAGCGAAGAAGTGCTGAAGACTTTGTAAGCTTGAAAAACACTGGTTTACAAAAACAAAATTCTGATTAGGAGAAAGTAAGTTTAAATTCCAAAGAAAAAATGGCCTCCTATAAACATTTTAATTACTGTCTAGAGCCATTTAAAACAATTATGAAATACCAGGGGTTTTTAAATTATAAATACTTTTTCTCCTGTTACCAAGTTAACCTCAAGACAGGAGTTAAATAGAAGTTACCTTAAGTTTTGGTGAAAGCCTCTAGTGCCTACAGAGTTACAATTCAAGCTGTAATAAAATTAGTAGCAGACATGACTACAAAAAAGGACTAGTGAAAAGCATAAGACTTCTCTCTCAAAAGAAGTGGTCATAGCTTTTAGTGCACAGACAGCACATTCTCTGAACATGGGGACTCAGAATCCAGAGGCAGTTTTACCAACTTTGCAATTTAAGTCAAGAAAGATAAATGACAGAAATGTGAGAAACAAGGACTGTGTGTATCCTGCTTTAGTACTCCAGTGCCTGAATATATTTCATGTTTCTGAAAATGACTTTCTAAATACAGCAGAGACTGTGCAGTCAACAAGGAACAGAACAGAACTAAAATCGGGTTAGCCCATTTTGAAGGATTTCTACAAGCAGTGCTATGGTAGCCTACCGTTATATTAATACATGAACTTCTTTTTGCACTTCCCCAGATTTACGGGAAAATAAACCACCAGAAAACCCACACACAAAAAGATTAAAGCATCAGAAAACTACAAAAACAAAGCAAGCATCTGCGTTATCGTAGTGAACTCTGAAGCTGAGGGCTGTGTGCCTGCGTATATAGATCTTTATAAACAAACACGTATATGGCTGGTTGTTTTGTTTGGGTTCCACCCCCCCAATCAAAGCAGAACACATAGGCAATATATTCTTTCAATTGGGTTTTGGATGGGAATGTGTGAGTAGAGTGGACAAAGAAAATGACAAAGGAAAAGAACAGTGAGATTTTATTTCCTTGGCATGTGAAATTACAGAGATGTTACTACAGCACTTACTGTTCTTACCTTTTGGATCCCAACTCATCACAAATTACAGCATAACTACATCAGTCGTGGAATTTAACACACAGTTTACATTTTCAAAATGATTTATTTTTCTTCATGGTATCCACACTTTTCGCAGCCTACAAACCTGAAGAAAATGGATTTGCTTCCAAAAGCCGTAATAGTAAGTGTTTTGGGGTGTTCAGAGTCAAAGAAGTAGTCCTGAGATTTCAGATGTTAAAGCTTTCTCCACAGCCACATGTTCCTTTGATGTTTGGATTATTGAAGACAAATTCACTGGACAGTTTGTCTTCTACATAGTCCATTTCAGTTCCTAGAAGTGTCAGCTGTGCCTTCTTCTCAATAAACACTCTAACCCCTTGAAGACAAAGGAAAAAAAAAAATTACATACAGCAAAATCACTATTCACTTTAGAATTCTCTTTCAACCAGTGATAAAATATGGAAGCTATATATGAAGACTACCAGTATAACTTGGTTTCCCTGGCCTAACTTGCGGCACTTTCATCACTGTTTTTACTCTACCTGTAAAACTCTTAGCAACAGTCTAGCAGTGTTATTTGTGTGTGCACATGGACGGATGACTTGGGGTGTTAAAGTCTGTGCATCCAACAAGATGTCCAAAAACCGTGAAAAACCAAATGGTCCTCTCTCAAAATGATTATTTTTGTTCTGCCAAAACTATTAGGTCTACATTAACTATTAGCAATACTGAATCCTATAATAAGGCAAATGCGTGAACTTTCAAAGATATCACAGCCTTTAAGGATTAAGAATTAGTAGTTCATCTTAGGAACGAGAAAGAGCTCACTTTTCTGAAGTATACAAAATATCCACCCCTCTGGAAAGTTACAGAACTTTAAAGCTGCAAATCTGACACAAAGGTGTGAGTGGACTGCTTTAGCTGTCCACAGACTAGGAAATACTAAAAATAAAAATGTAAAATTGTATCAGTAAACAGCAACAAGAACTCATGAAGTTATATGAGAGATTGCTGGAAAGCTGTTTCATCATAGCAGACATTAAGACAAAACATTACTAACACAATTCAAGTCTGTAGGCAACTGAGTTGAATCTACACAGTCTTGGGGTCAATTTGGACAGTAACTGACAGTGAAGGCTAAACCTAATGAAAGAGTTTATGGACCTGATCCCCAAAGCAGTCACTTACTACCTAAAAGCTGGGATCCAAAACCACCAGCTCACTGAGCACAGAGCTGTATAAAAGCCAGAGCCTCCACTGGAAATCTGTCTAGAAGCAACCAAAACAAAACAGAAAGCACACATGCACACCTGAAACTCAGTCTGGCTTTGCAACTTAAGGTCTCTGACCTGACTGAGGGAAACTGCTTTTACCTTCCTTAATATCCAAACCAGGAAATGCCTTCTGAAAAATGTGTTTTCAGCCCTGCAGTTAGAGCAGAAGAGTTAACTCCAGAAGCCAGCCGAATTTGAAATCAAGAGGCAACTGCAGAATTAGGTGGCAGTCCCTATCTCACATACTCTGGTTCAATCTAATCATTTGCTGAAGCTCCAACTAATTGTCTGTTTCAGAGAATAAAATTTCTGAGTTGGTCACAGGTATTTTGAAGACAGCTGGAAGATGGGCTCTGCCTAGCAGCATAGCTTCTGTAAGAAAATAATTGTGATACCCCACTTATATTCCAATCTCTTATTTTGCCACCAAATTAAAAGTAATATTCCTGAAAATAATATAACTGAGTTCAGTAATGCCTACAAAAACCCAAAACCACCCTGACAAAAGGAATTTTAGGAACTTTTAGAAAAAGAACACAAACAAAAACAAACACTAGTATGTTTCTGTAAAAATCCATATTTGACAAAAAAAACACTAACAGAAATTTTTGTTACAACTGGAAGAATGTATAGAACTGTGCTGGTTTTGGCTGGGTTAGTGTTACATTTCTTCACAGTAGCTGGTATGGGGCTGTGTTTTGGATTTGTGCTGAAAACAGTGTTGCTAACACAGGGATATTTTAATTATTGCTGAGCAGTGCTTACACAGAGTCAAGGCCTTTTCTGCTTCTCACCCCACCCCACCAGCAAGCAGGCTGGGGCTGCACAAGAAGCTGGGAGGGGACACAGCTGGGACAGCTGACCCCAACTGGCCAAAGGGCTATTCCATGCCATATGACGTCATGCTCAGCATACAAATCTGGGGGAAGAAGGAAGGGGGGGACATTCAGAGTGATGGTGTTTGTCTTCCCCAGTAACTATTACGCGTGATGGAGCCCTGCTGTCCTGGGGATGGCTGAACACCTGCCTGCCCATGGGAAGTAGTGAATGCATTCCTTGCTTTGCTTGTGCATGCGGCTTTTGCTTTACCTATTAAACTGTCTTTATCTCAACCCACGAGTTTTCTCACTTTTACCATTCTGATTCTCTCCCCCATCCCGTGGTGGGAGAGTGAGTGAGCGGCTCTGTGGGGCTTAGTTGCTGGCTGGGGTTAAACCATGACAGGAACTTTAGCAACAGACCTATCATGGGATGCTCAATGAAATTATCAGGCAGAAAGCTTAAATACTAGCATACGAAAACAATTTTTAAAATACTCTTAAATTAAAATCATAGAAATGGTTGTTACAAAGCAATGTAAAGGTCAAAAGCATAAAGAAGTTAAAAACAAACTACAAATCAATGAAGAATAAGACTAGTTAGAGAAGATAATTGGGAAAATCCCTTAAAAATAAAAGCTTTACTTGGCCAAGACTTGGTTTAGGTATGCTGTTAAAGTATTCCTTTATACATGCATGCTTCTATATTCTTCTCTAAATATCTGCTATTAGCCACCTCCAAAGACATGAACGATGGACTATTCTGGCGTAGTAGTCTCTTACGCAGAGACTGCAAAGCTGCAGATTTTAACTAGCTGGTTCATTCAAAACAGAAACCAAGGTGACAACAATTCCCATAACAGAACAGTAGGACCTCTTCCTATAACTTGTTACTTCAAGTAAGTTCTAACCTGTACCTTGGCAAACCTGTAGTAAGTTTCCCCACCACCACAGATGTTAGCCCTGCTGCATCAGAAACTCACCGTCTTGAACTACTTCTTCATCAGAGTCTCCTTTCGATTTTGTATATTCTAACGTGTATGAAAGTCCATTGCATCCTCTTGTACGAACACCTACTTTCACACCTACCTAAAAAAAAAAACAAAACCAAAAAACCAACCCCACATTTATGACATTTTTAAAACTTATTCTGGAGTAAAAAGTACAGAGAACAACAAAATGCTGACATTTATTATTCTCCACTGCCTCAAAGCAGAAGTGAATTAGCTTAATGGATTAAGAGGTAACATTTTTTTCCTTTTACAAAATTGACTGCCAAGGTAAAAGCAAACATCAGATGTTTGCTACTATAGATCAAGACCTAAAGTATGTTAAAGTTTTGAGCTAATAAGCTGTTGGCACTCCTCTAGGTGCTTGGTCTTATAAAGACAGTCAAATTTCAAAGACAGATTTTTTATTTTTTTTTTACTTCAAATTAAAGTTTACTCAGATGCTAGTTCAGGTGCTATGTTAAGATTATTGACAGTAATGCAATTATGAAGCTGTGAGGCCAAGGCAAGGGCAGTGACTAAATTTTCACAGAACTCTTGTAATGACACCATCAGAAAACTTACTTCAAACTAAAGTTTTGAAACATGTACTTTGATTTCTTCATTATCTCTGTTGCCAACCTTACTTAAAAAGCAATCCTCTGCTTAAATCAAATATGTTTATTTCCTTACTGTTTTAATCAACCTTAAAAGCCAACCTAGTCAACATGTTTGTACCATCCACAGTATCCAACAAGTCTGGGAAAGAGAGCATCTGTGTAAGTAAAAAACTGAGAAAATGTTTTAAAGAAACAGAAAACTCTTTGTGTACAACCATCTTTCAAAAATCTCTACCACTTTCCACACACCACTGCTTCATAACTGAAGAGGAAAATTATATTGTCCATCTCTGTAATCAATGTTATGATGAAAATATATCAAAACATATCACTTCTCATCAAGTGGGATCTCAGACAAACCATGTTTGACCTTTCTCTACAGGAACCGCTACAAATAATGGGCTGGAAAACGCAAACACCATTTATAGCAAGAGGATGACCGACCAGCTAAGCTGTAGGCTTAGGGCTTCCTTAGGATGGTTTAAAACATTAGAACAAAGAGTCTAGTTAGTAACAGATGTGCAGGAAGCAAAAGAAACAATGGGCCTTGTATGAAAGTTAGAAGAGAAATATTCTTCTTGAAATGCTCACTGTAAAGAAGAAAATCTAATGCTTGTTTTTATAATGGTTAGAAAGCAAGACTCCGGGTATTTTTCCCCCACGAAGAAAAGATGACAAGCTCATTCAGTCATTTGGAGAAATGCTGATTACTTAAAAAAAAAATACACTGTCTGGCAAGTTTCCTAAGAATTACACGTTTTCCAATGGATATGAATCTAACTTTATTATTATATACTTCAAAATGAAAATTTCTACAAGAACTTAATTAATAATGTCTTAATATCAACACTTTAGCCATCTCAAAAGTAACTGTACAGTGAAATGTCATTACAGTCATACTTCCTGCATTTCATTTTATAAAGAAACAAAGGTTGATACCTAAATAAGCTTATGCATTCCCCTCCAAAAAAAAGATGCCAACATCTCCAATAAACACCTCAGTGTTTATTTCAAACTTCCAAGTCGCCAGAAATGCTTTGCAATTGTGAGCTGTGTTAAAACCTTAGCACAATCTACAGGCTGGCTCTGTTTATACTTACATGCTCAGGTTTATCTTTAAGAAGTTGTTTTATCTTCTGAACAGCTGATGGGGTCTGAAAAACAAAGACATATACATCAGTTTGAAATTTTTTTTTGTTTATTTGCAGTGAATGCTTGCACATATTAAAATCTGCAACATAGCTGTACTATAAAATAATTTCTATTCCAACTCTGTGCACTCAAATTTTCTTAGTTTACATTTGTCTCCTATCTGTGAAGTCCACCTTCAGCATCAGCCACCTGTCAGTAGTGACTAGCCTGTGTTCTGCTTGAAACTGATGCCTGATCTGAATATAGGCACTCTGCTGTAAAACAGATGATCGCTCTATCTAATCCATGCAGAGTGCAACACCTCTTCACTTCCCTCCTCACCCACGCTGCCAGCAAACAGATAGCTCAAGAACTTCAGTCCTTAATATTAGGGCGTTTGTTCTCCCCCCCCAATCACTACTGCAATCCAATTAAGTAGTTCTGCTCATGTAAAACTTTTGTCACATACGCATTACAGACAAAAATCAATTAGGCACAGATGTGTTTATGGCCTATTTCTCTCTTCGCACTAACCCAGAGGGGAATTGTGACTTTACAGCAGATAAATTCACTGTTCATGCAGATCTAGCTGTTGCAGAAATGCAAGAACACACCACAAACACAAATATTTCCATTACATGTTTACAGGTTTTTAAGACACTGAGAAAAAGAAAAGCATTAGTTCTTACATGAAGTTCTTACCAGGAGCAGACTTAAACACACAAAGCAAAATACAGGTTAGACTTACAGTAGAAAACTTTTTTCTAATTCCCGCTATTAATCGTCATTTGTTACAGAATCACTACTGAACAGGAATCACCTGCTCTGAACTGTACGCACTCAATCTGCCCCTGTTCCTGCAGGGAACTGACTGTACTTTCCTCTGCAGTAATCCCTCTCAACAGTACAGCCTCCCCAGGG